AATGAAATAGCACACTGCAATCATGTTAGCCATACACGAGAGTGTGTACTCAATGAAATAGCACACTGCAATCATGTTAGCCATACACGAGAGTGTGTACTCAATGAAATAGCACACTGCAATCATGTTAGCCATACACGAGAGTGTGTACTCAATGAAATAGCACACTGCAATCATGTTAGCCATACACGAGAGTGTGTACTCAATGAAATAGCACACTGCAATCATGTTAGCCATACACGAGAGTGTGTACTCAATGAAATAGCACACTGCAATCATGTTAGCCATACACGAGAGAAATGTTTTGCGAGCCAATTTATAAAGCACTACGGTAGCCTATAGTCAAGGTTGACCAAGTGCTAAGTGTGTGTGAAGCCTTGACTGAATCGAACTCTAATCTATGCAAACAATCGACTTGTTCTATTTTTAGACTGTCAAAGGTTAGTCTCGGCCAGGTGATTCCCACCTTCTAATTTTAACCAAGGGGAGACAACCCGGACCAAGGGAAATAAGTGACTAGCTACCACGTGACATCAGCAGTAGGACACAGGAAATGTCGAGGAGACCAAAATGGGACCAAGATTTTGTGTCTCTCCGCGCTGAACAGCTGAGGTCCAGGCAACTTTACACAGACTCTGAGTTCCCGCCATGCACGAGATCCCTGTACCGCGAGAACACCAGGTACACTGGAACCATTGTCTGGAAACGCCCTGCGGTAATCTATGAATTAAACTAGATATATATATATATATATAAAAAAACAGTTTTGGGGGGGGGGGGGGGGGGGGAATAGGTTAAATTATTTATTGTAGGGGAGGGAATTCACTTTTTCTTTTCTTTTATAAAACTAAGTTACTATTGGCCCATGCTGTCGCGTAGGGCATAAGAAATCACGTCGTTCCAGATACATCACCATCCGTCCAGAATCAATCTCGTATCTATAAATAACTCATCTTATTTAACACTGATATTTATTTTTCCAGGAAATTGTGTCAAGGCCAGAGTTTATTGTGAATGGGGCAAGTCGACATGATTTAGACCAAGGTGGACTGGGTACGTGGTTTATTAATGTATCGAATGGACAAGAGAAGATCTAGAAACGATTGAAGTGAAGCAAGTTTGGATAATAAACACTCAAAGAAATATTTAATTGTACGACCATATATTTAGCAGGTAGAGGAGTGGGTCAACATAGCTGTAGAGGAGTGGGTCAACATAGCTGTAGAGGAGTGGGGGAATATAGATGGTAGAGGAGTAGGGGAACATAGCTGGTAGAGGAGTGTGGCAACATAGCTGTTAGAGGAGTGGGGCAACATAGCTGTTAGAGGAGTGGGGCAACACGGCTGGTAGAGGAGTGGGGCAAAATAGCTGGTAGAAGAGTGGGAGAACACATATGCTATTTTTTCTCTATATTTTTAATCTTTTAATCAAAGCTGAATTCGGCTAAGATTATAAAATTTAGACTAATGTTACAGATAAACCACCCCAGTAAAATACGGGCTACTTGAATTAATGCCAGAGAGAATGCCAAGCTACTCACCATAGGTTGTTAAGTTCAGTTAACTGAATGCTCTTATATAAAACTATATTTGTATTATATACTGACCCTACTAATGTTTTTTTAAATATATTTTTTACAAAATCTGTGACATTTAACCCCCAGGTAATTGTTGGTTTGTTGCTGGAGCAACGGCGTTAGCGGCGAGTTACCCCAGGGCGTTTGAGAGAGTTCTCCCCCTTGATCAAGGGTTTAGTCCCCAGCAATACACAGGTTCGAGAAATCTACTGCAATATTGCTGTTGTTTTTGCTTGTTTCGCTTTTATTAGTGTCTTTACAAGGATACATTCACATGATGTGTCTTGCTTTCTCTGGTTAATAAGCTTTTTTGGCCCCCTTTCAGCCAGGGGTTCAGACCTAAGTGAAAGTTTGTCAAAGCAGCTGCAGTCTTTGGTCTCACCACAAATTTAAAGAAAACCGAGGTAGAGACTGGCCGAATTTCGGTTTCGGCGCCGTTATTTGCGATTGGATCACTTTCGGCGCAGTATCAGTTTCGGCCGAAACAGAAAAGTTAACTTTCGGTTTATTTTCGGTTTTGGCAGAAAGTGATTGAGACTTTTGGTCGTCTGCAAGACGTCAGACTGTCACTCTACTCTGTCTGTCTGTCGGCCGGCAGTCCGATGCTCGTCATTGGTCGACGTATTGCTTCCATCGTCTGCTGTATGACTAATCCTCTGTCAACAATGCTCACAGCTGCGTGTTCAATATTACCAAAATTAAATTTCAATTAGGCTTAGGCAAAGGTAAATAGTTTTGTGGAACAAAAATCTAACTAAGGGAATCGTCACATTTATATTATTTTTGTTTATTGGGGTCAAATTAGCCAATGAATGATAATTGCGTCCAAACGAAAAATGTAAATGTTGACCAATAAGAATACGTGTTTCAACAAAAAGGTTTGGGGTAGCCGAAAAGAGAGTCCCTTCGAGGCTTATGTCTAGACATATTTGTGGCCCTTACCATTAAACAATAGAAAGGATAAACTTTCGATTGATACAACTAAGTCTAGGTAGCGCTGCAATTATATTATAAAAGCAAAGCCCCCCCCCCCCCCTTTTAGAGTCTATTTCGCATGAACCCCCCCCCACCCCACCCCCAACCCCGACTGATTAAAAGACAATTTTTAACTAATTTAAATTCCGTTTTAATGCAAATGGTAAAAGCCTAAGTATTCAATGCATGTTTTTGTATTACAATTCAAGATAATTATTAGTTATTTTTAACTCTTGGCTTGGGGTTCGGCTTCGGCGGAAATCAGAAAATCACTTCGATCGGTCTCTACACTAAGGTCTCATGCAAGAAATATGTACTAGGCAATTACACAGGCCCACAAAAAATCATCATCAATGCATTTGATCAGTTTGCATTCTTAGGGAGTATCACCTCCATTGCATTCTTAGTTAGTATCATCTCTATTGCATTCTTAGTGAGTATCACCTCCATTGCATTTTTAGGGAGTATCACCTCCATTGCATTCTTAGCGAGTATCACCTCCATTGCATTCTTAAGGAACATCATCTCTAAGGACGTTACTGTGACAAAAGATATTTAAAGGAAACACAATCTGGCAAAAGGCTACAGTTCCATTGGTCGCCTACAAAATTGTAAAAGGCAAAATCGCTTGCTGCACCTTTCCACTAGCCTTCCGAAATGTATCGATCTAGCTTTCAGGCACTTCTATCTGGTACAGATAACGGTGCGACATACAATGAATATTATTTTAGCAGTGATTAGGGTGCCTCCTTGCCTATAAAACAGCATCGTCTGCTCAAACCAAATACATTTAACAACATCTAAAGATCATGCTTAACACCTGTGAGCAAAGCCAGGAGCCTTACATTAAAATGATCTGATCGCCCCCCCCCCCCCCCCCCCCCCCCCCCCCCCCCCCCCCCCCCCCCCCCCCCCCCCCCCCCCCCCCCCCCCCCCCCCCCCCCCCCCCCCCCCCCCCC